TTGATTGCATTTTGAACTCCCTAGCCTGTGTGCTGTAGGAAAATCCGGTGTTAAAATATTCTCTCGTGCTTATTTTCACTTCATGGCCATAATTAATATAGACAGAAGATTCAGGAAGGAAGAGGCTCACCAGTTTTGGTGGCTGTCATCAGGCAGAGGAAAGTTTGTCTCATCAGTCTTTATATAAAACATTCTTGTAAAACATTCAATTTGTCTTTGTTTAGCTTTCTTTTTACATTTCCCCTCGTTGCCTCCACTATATCCCTCCATCTGCTGTAAGATCTGATTTTTATTGTTCCTTCCATCTCTTTCACTGTCTCTTTTGTCTCAGTATGATTTTCCCCATGCTTAATGCTTAACAAACATTTCAGTTTATTTTTCTCTCAGATTGTTCTTTTTTATCTCCTTTTTTCTCACCCTTTTTTTCTGACTGCCTCTCTTCAACTCTCTTCCCCTCCCATTTTCCCCTTGTTTTCTCTTTCCTGTGCTGTTTTTCTCTCTTCCTTTTTCGAACTCCAGCTTTTTCTGTTGTTCTAGTAAGTGATTCCTTTTCTCTTGTATTCCTTAAGAGCTCAGCCTCCTTCTGTTCTCTTTCAGTCTTTGCATGTGTTCTCTCTATTCCTTTCAAGTCCCTTAATCAATCCTCTTTTTTTCCCCATAGTGTGCTCTCTCTTTTTTTTTCTTGAGCTATGCCTGGAGAAGATTCCATTCCTCATACATTCATAGTGGGAGTTACATCTCTGAGGTTGACTCCCAGCAAGTATTACAGAGCTATTTTTTTCAAAGTGTTGAAAAACCTTTGGGGAAGAAATGGGGCAGGTCTGCCTTTCTCTCAAAAAAGAACAGGATTCCGTATTTTGCACAAGACAGTCAAACCTTAGACTGTGCTTTTCAGGTTCTTCTGTAACTTTCACTGAAACTGCTTTATCAATGTTAACTTTTGAAAAGTATAAATCTCAATATGGTGAGACAACTTTTTGTTTTTTATTTAATTTGAATTAATTTCAATTCTTTTCTCACTACCTTTTGTATTATGAATCCATCTGTCAAATTGGATTCTGTCATTAAGGGGGAAAAAATCCCTCATTTGGCTTCACAGAGTGGGTGGGTCTACAGGATAAGAGTTGTGACACTTGTTGGGCACAACACACTGTCTTTACTCAGTCAAATGGCCTGACCAGACAGGCCTAACCTAGAAAAAGTACTGCACGGTGTAAAACACGAGTAACACATAAAGGGGAGATGCTCAGAGACCAAACAGGAAACAAAGGTGGAGATGTGACAGTGGCCCTGCGCATCTTATAAAGGGTTATTTAGAATGTAAGATCATCAGGGCAGAGGCATTTTAGCACCATACGGCCTCAAACTTAGATGGGGCCCTTTAGGCACAACTGTGATAGTATGACTGCTACTATTAATAATAGGGACTCTGAGTACTCGTATCTTGTATATGTGAAATGATAATGGAGAGCAAGACCAGAACAAGGAATCAGTGAACAGTGTTTATGTTTGTGTGTAATGACTGTGGTGAATATTAAACTAATTTGGTTTTGGTATAAAATTCCATAACTATGGCTTTGAGATTAAAGTAATCTATTAATTTACAGAGCAGACACAGCAGTCATGAGCAGCTGAAGTGCAAGCTTCTTTCTTAATGGCCCCTCGTTGTGCCTCTGCTCTGTGCTTGGAGAGCTAGTGAGAGAGTTCTGAGGAGATCAGTTCATGACCGCTTAGTGCATGGCTTCTCTTTTGAAAATGGCCCTTTGTGCCAACTGTAGGGATGGTTTTATGATGTGAATACTTCTTCAGTGGGCTCTGGAGTGAGTTTATAAACACACTTCCAGTAAATTCACAGCAGCAATCTGATTACAGTTGGACAGTGATGAATTGGTAATATAAGAAAGTAAGAACATACGAATGGCCAGAGCTCGACAAATTCTGGAAAACCCTATTCGCCAGACAAAAGTGTTTTTTAATGGCATACATTCCTAATAAGAACAGTAATTGCTAATAAGTTATTAATAAATATCACCCAAGTTATTAATAAATATCTTATAAACCTCTACCTTTTCCCTCTGCTGGCATGTCTCCTCCCTTGCTCCATCAGCTCCCCTGGTGCCCACTGCCCCCCAACCCCTCACCCTCCTCTGCTGCCCTGACTCCTGCCCTTCTCACTGCCCTCAGCCTTCCTGAGACCTGCCCCCCTCCACCAGCCCTTCTCTCCCCCCTGTGCCCACTCCTCCAGTAGCCCCACTCTGATCTGATCCTCATCCCCTCTCCTAACACCTCCCTCCACACACCTGCCCTGCCTCTCTCCTCTGGTGCTGGTCCCTCCCCTGCAGGTGTCTGCACTTTTTTCCCATAAAGGCAAAAGTGCTTCAAGTGAACTTCCCTTTTCACTCCCTGCTGGGTCACAGCAGCCTTTTCCCTGCCCTGTCCGGCCTCTCTCTGTGGACAAGCACCCCTCACTCCCGACCCCCGGGGGAGCAGGGTGCAGGGACAGCACAGAGCCAGAGGGGTACAGGGAAAGGGGGGGGGGGGGGTACAGAGGTGGCACGGGGAACGGGAGGCACAGAACCAGAGGGACGCAGGGATCGGGGGGAGCAGGGTGCGGGGTGCGGTACGGGAAAGGGGATGCAGGGAACGGGAGGGGCAGAGGGATCGGGGTCTAGGGGCAGTGCAGGGAACGGGCAGCACTGGGGGGGGGCAGGGATCGGGGGAAGTGAGGTGCAATGGTGGCGCAGAGCCAGAGAGTCGCAGGGAAGAGGGAGAGCAAGGGAACTGGGGAGCAGGGTGCGGGACACAGGGATGGCATGGGGAACAGGCGGTGCGGAGACAAAGCGGTGCGGGGTGGGTGCAGTGAGCCGGGCGGTCAACAGGGAGCGGTCTCTCACCGGCGAGTGGGCTGAGGCCGTGGCAGGACTGGAGCCGGCAGGGCAGGGCCTGGCTGTGCCATGCGCCGCAGCCAGCTCCTGGGAACACGCAGCCAGAACCGAGCTGCCACAGCCCTTTAAAATTGGCAGGACCACGTCACACCAGTGTCTTTGCATCTGCCGGCGTCCCGCCCTCTGGCTCGTGCCCTGCCTCCTCGTGCCAGAGCTGCACGCAGGCAGCCTGGTGGCAAGAATCACCGCACTTCCTCCTCCCCCACCAGGCCAGTCCGCCCCTGCACTCACCAGCTGGTAAAATCTACTCGCCACGGGCGAGCGGGAGAGTGTATTTGTCGAGCCCTGAGAATGACCATACTGGGTCTCACCTCGGGACCATCTAGAACAGTATCCTAACTTATAACATGGCCAATGCCAGGTGCTTCAGGGGGAATGAACAGAACAAACCATCATAGGGTGATCCATTGCCTGTTGTTCATTCCCAGCTTCTGGCTGCCAGAGGCTAGGGACACACAGAGTATGGCATTGTTTCCCTGACCAACTTGGCTAATAGCTATTGATGGATCAATCCTCCATGAACTTATCTAATTCTTTTTTGAACTTTTAAAAGTCTCAAAGGTGGAGCCGTGTTAGTCTGTAACTTAAAAAAAAAAAAGAGTAGTCCCGTGGCACCTTAGGGTATGTCTAGACTACATGGCTCCATTGATGGAGCCATGTAGATGAGTTTACTAGACATAGGAAAATGAAGTGGTGACTTAAATAATCGCCGCTTCATTTACATCAAAATGGCCGCTGCGCTGTGCTGATCAGCTGTTTGGCGGCACAGCGGGGCAGTCTGGACGCACCGTGGTCGACAAGGGAAGCCTTTGTCAACCGCTCTGGTATGCCTCATGAAATGAGGTTTACCGGCGCGGTCAACAAAGGCTTCCCTTGTTGACTGCGGCGCATCCAGACTGCCACCGCTGTGCCGCCAAACAGCTGATTGGCACAGCGCGGGAGCCATTTTGATGTAAATGAAGCGGCGATTATTTAAATCGCCGCTTCATTTTCCTATGCCTAGTAAACTCCTCTACATGGCTCCATCAACGGAGCCATGTAGTCTAGACATACCCTTAGAAACTAACAAAAAGACTTACTTGTTTTTTGAACATTGTTACAGTTTTGATGTTCACAACATCTCCTGTCAATCAGTCCCACAACTTGACTGTGTGTTGTGTGAAGATATACTTCCTTTTGCTTTAAACATGCTGCCTGTTCATTTAATTGGGTGACCCCCCTGGTTCTTGTGTTATGTGAAAGAGCAAATAACAATTCCTTTTTTATTAGCTGATAATTGCCAGGATTGGCCCTGAAGTCTTTTTTGTTTGTTCGTTTGTTTAAATTGATGTCACATTAGCTATCCCAAATCATCTGGAACAGATTCTGATTTAAATGCTAGGTTACGTATCTCACTTACTAGTTCTTCAATTTCATATTTAAGTTCCTTCAGAACTCTTGGGCAGATGCCACTGGCCCTGGTGACTTACTACTCTTTATCAATTTGTTTCCAGACCTCTCCTAATGCCACAATCTCAGACTTTTCTTCAGATTTGTCACCTAAAAGGAATGGCTCTGGTGTGGGAATCTCCCTCACTTCCTCCTCAGTGAAGACTGATATAAGAAATTCATTTAACTTCTCTGCAATGCCCTTAGCTTTGAGTGCTCCTTAAGCATTTTGATCATCAATTGTCATCCCTGACTATTTAGAAGGCTTCCTGCTTCTGATGTACTTAACATTATTTTCCTGTTAGTTTCTGAGTCTTTTACTAGTTGGTCTTCAAATTCTTTTTCGGCCTAATTATAATTTTACATTTCATTTGCCAGAGTTTATGTTCTTTTCTGGTTTTCTCTGTAGATAACCTACAGGTGAAATAATCTATATTCCATTGTCTTTTCAAGGAACCAGGCCTTCCCTTGACAGACATTACTTTCCAAAAGCATCGCTAAAGCTTCAATACGTATATTTGAAACCGAGGGGATATTTTAAATAAGATTCACAGTCATGATGCTTTTCCTTATTAGGTAAAACACATGCTTCTTGCTATATGACCAGGCTTCAGTAAATTCTCCTACCCTTTGTGCTTTTGGCATATCAGTGTGGCGTTGAGCACGTACAGAGCGTGCAGATTTGGGTGGCTTGATAGGAGCGCAGTACATTTCCAGCCTCCTCAGGTCACAGCTCTGGAAGCAGCATTCATCCACTATTCCTTTGTGGTGTAAACGTCTACTGTTGGATCCATACCCTGTTGGCTTACCTGCACACAACACAAATAGGAGAGTTTTATTGTTGGGGAAGAAGGGGAATGCAAAAGCTTCCATAGCACTCCTAGCTGGAATACTAGTGACACCTGTAGCTAAGACTGTCTATGTGTTTCTATTCAAAGATCTTTTCTTCAGTTGCTTTTAACTCTCTGAATCGTTCACCTGAAAATATCCAGGATTTCTCTGTGCCCCAGGACTATGTTTTAACAGTTGAGAAAAACTATAATTTTTCTTCCTATAAAAATGTTAAAAGCTTTTTTGGAACTATTTTAACACTGAAGAGATCTGAGGTTTAGACGCTTAAATTTAGCAATGTATCTATCATTGTTTGGGTGAAAACTGACTTTTAAGTGGTAGAATTAGGAATATTTAAAGATTATAATTTGTTCATAAAAATAATAGAAAAATAGAATTGGAAGGGACCTTGCTAGGTTATCTAGTCCAGTCCCTTGTGCTGAGGCAGCATTAAGTATTATCTAGACCATCTCTGACAGGTCTAACCTGCTCTTAAAAACCTTCAATGAGTTCAGACTAGTCTACAGTAGACTGAACTGATGGAATTGTGCCACCGTAGTGCTGCTAGAGCAGACATTTTGGGTCTAGGGGAGACAGCTCTCCCATCAGCATAATTACTTCATCCCCAGTAACTATGTCAGTGGGAAACCTTCTACTGCTAATATAGCATTATCTACATGGGCACTTAGATAGGTGTAACTTATGTTGCTCAGGAGTGACATTTTCTACATTCCTGAGCAACACAACTCATAGAAAAGTAAACATGAGTGTGTATAAGCCTAGAGATTTCATTACCTCCTTTGCTAATTTGTCCCAGTGCTTAGCTGCCCTTAAAGTCAGGAAATTGTCCTAATGTATAACCTAAATCTCTCTCATTGCACCTCTCAGTCCATTGCTTCTTGTCCTGTTCTCAATGGTTAAGGAGAACAATTTGTCCTTACTGAATTTCATCCTTACTACAGTCCATTTCTCCAGTTTTGTCCAGTCTGAATTCTAATCCTGTCCTATGTGTTTGCAACTCCTCCTGACTTGGTTTCACCCAGAAATGTTAAGTGTCTTCTGTATGTCATTTATCGAAATAGTTTATGAAGATTTTAAATAGATCCAGACCTATGATAGATCTCTGCAAGATTCCAGTCAACATGCCTTTGCAGCTTGGTTGTGAGCCATTGATAACTACACTCTCAGTATGATTTTCCAACCAGATGTGCATACACCATATAGCAGCTTGTATTTCCTTACTTTGTTTATGAGAATGTCAGGTCAGACAGTAACAAAAGCCTTACTAAAAGCTGAATTATATCACATCTATTGCTCCCCTGTTATTTTGGCTTGGTACCCAGTCAAAGAGGAATATTAGGTTAGTTTGACATGATTTGTTCTTGACAAATTCATGTTGACTATTATTTGATCACATTATTTTCTAGGTGCTTACCACAATTGTTTAATTATTTGCTCCATTTCCTAAGCTAATATTGCTCTATAATTCCATGGGTTTTCCTTATTGCCCTTTTACAGATAGTTAATATAGGTTGAACCTCTCTAGTCCGGCATTCTGTGGCCCAGCAATATCGTGGTCCAGCATGATTTTAGTTAGCCAGATGTCCACTTATCATGGGTGTAGCCCCATAAAAGTTTGTTTATAGCCACCAGTCCTGATTCTCAGTGTTCTGTGCTGTTAGCTCTAATTTACTCTAAATGTCTCCTAAGAGCCCTGTAAGCAGTGGTAATGTTGCTAGACAATATTGACCTCTCATGGTTTGACAAATTCTCTGGTACAGCACCAATCAGGTCCTGAGGTGCTAGACTAGAGAGGTTCAATCTGTAGTTTATTTTAAATAATGAATAGTGTTGTTAAACTACTATTTCCTGACATTTTAAACAAAAAGGGCCTTCATTAAGCCGGCATGTAAGGCTAAAATTAAGTGTAAATGGGAAAAAATATAGTGTCTTTCTACGGACTGTAAGATGTGGTTTAATCAGAAAACAGTAAGCTGTAGAAAGTAAGGTTGAGTCAGCAGTAATCAGTAAAGTATTGTAAAAGCAGTAAGCATTAAGGTGAGAGAGGGAATGCTGTTTACTGCTGCTTACCACTATATAGTTATGGCACAATGTATGAAGCAGGGTTGCTGTTGCATACTGTTTGCTGCTTACTGCATAGTATAGTCACTGAATAGTTGAGACAAGTGTGTGCTCTGTGAACTAGGCAGTGTTTGCTCATTAAATGTTTGCAAAAGTAAAACTTGATTACACTAATATTTACCCTAGGTGAATACAACAGGAAAACCAATGCAGCAGAAATTAATTTACTTACTAACTCAAATTGATGGTCAAAGAAAATGTTTTGCAGTGTCAATCCTGATCTAACCAACAGTAATGTTATTACAGTCCCCAAAATAACCACTTCTATTTTCTCTCCCTCTGATCCATGTCTTCCTTCTTTCTGTCTTTTTTGATTTCTTGGCTAGTTTCTGCTTTTCTCTGTGTTCAGAGTCCTGCACTTGGGATGGAAGAATCCCAAGCATTGATATAGGCTGGGGATCAACTGGATAAGCAGTAGTTCTGCAGAAAAAGACCTGGGGATTACAGTGGATCAGAAGCTGGATATGAGTCAACAGCGTGCCCTTGTAGCCAAGAAGGCTAATGGCATATTAGGGTGCATTAGGAGGAGCATTGCCAGCAGATCTAGAGAAGTGATTATTCCCCTTTATTTGGCACTGATGAGGCCACATCTGGTGGCCACATCTGGAGTATTGCCAGGGCCACCCAATTACAGAAAGAATGTAAACACACTGAAGAAAGTCCAGCAGAGGGTAACAAAGAGGATGGGTGAAGCACAGAATTTGAGGAGGGGCTGAGGGATTTGGACTTATTTAGCCTACAGAAGAGAAGAGTGCGGGGGGATTTGATGGCAGCCTTTAACTACCTGAAGGGAGGTTCCAAAGAGGATGGAGAGAGGCTGTTCTCAGTAGTGACAGATGACAGAACAAGGAGCAATAGTCTCAAGTTGCAGTGGGGGAGGTCTAGGTTGGATAATAGGAAAAACTATTTCCCTAAGAGAGCGGTGAAGTACTGGAATGGGTTACTTAGAGAAGTGGTGGAATCTCCATCCCCAGAGGTTTTAATTCCTGGCTTGACAAAGCCCTGGCTGGGATAATTTAGTTGGGGTTGGTCCTGCTTTTAACAGGAGGTTGGATTCAATGACTTTCTGAGGTTTCTTCTAACCCTCTGATTCTATGGGTGTGTCTACACTGCACCGTTTTTCCAGAATAATGGCCGTTATTCTGGAAAAACAATACAAGTATCCACACTGCAATTGTGTTATTTTGACAGAAAGTCGAAATAATAGACAGCTTTTTCTGACAGTGGTAAACCTCATTCTACGAGGAATAAGCCCTTTTCCAAAAAAGCTTTTTCAGAAGAGGAGTGTGTAGGTGCTCAACTGCTGCTATGTCAAAATAGATCCTTCCCAGGGCCTCCTGGGGCTCTAAGGCGAGAGAGCGTGTCCACATTACGGAACCTGCCTCGGACTAATTTTGAGGCTTCCCTGTAGTGTGGACGCTGTATTTCAAAATAAGCTTTTTCGGAAGATATCTTCTGGAAAAGCTTATTCCAAAAGAAGCTTGCAATGTAGATGTACCCTATGATACCAGGCAGGGAGTTGGACATGGCACAGCCATCTCTTTTCTGGGCCTGCAGTTTTACTAGTATCCAATGGTGACATCAAGTTGTGTTGTCAGGAGATTAAGTTATAGGAAAAGACAAGGGACTCAAGATGGATGAAGAGAGATTATCCCAAAATTGATTAATTTAATTTTCCATTGGTAAATGTTTGCTTTTTTCCCTTTTACAGTACATTCTGGAGTCATAGTCAGAAAGACACCCTGGAAATGGCAGTTTAGGGAAGGCAGTACAGTTTGTACTCCTTTGTGATGAAAACAAATAATCACTGATCAAGAGCCCCTGAGACCACAGTACATCCATAAAAGAAAAGACTTTTTTAGTGATAAAATATGTCTAACTTTTTAGCCAGGGATACCATCAGCTAAGAACTAACTGTCCCTGTGAGTTTGTAAATTTAAACAATAGGGTTTTTAAGCATCCTTTTCCAGGGATTATAAATTAAAGAATAAGAAAAACATGCTTATTTAGTACATTGTAATCCACTGAGAGAGTCTATACTGTACATTCTCTGCTAAATTATTTGTTTCATAAGAAAAAGCAGGACAGCAAGCCAAGGCTAGATGATAGTAATATTTTATGTTGTGGGGCTGCTTTTTTGGTGTGTTTGTGTATCATTGAAATGTCTTACAAATGTGTGGAGATAAAGGAAGAAAATTTCCTTTAAAGGATTATCTAGATTATTTTTATGCAGTAAGGAACACTACTACCTGTGAGCTATGCAAGGCCTGATTCTGAAGCTTTTCTAACTGATCTCCTCAGCATAATTTATTTTATAGAATTTTGTACTTGGGGTAAAAAATAGCGTTAGTTATTTTACCAGGTATTGGGAGCTGTCTCAGATTCTCTATCACTTATTATCCAATTAAATAATTGCAGGTTAAATTCTGTCCGTGAATGTGCCTGTGTAACTCTCACCAACACAAATCATTGAACTATTCATGGGAACTAATTTTTAGATTTAACCCTTTTTCACTTTACAAATTGCTCATTCACAGATTGTGATTTTAACAAATCCGTGTGTCTTGTTTTTAATTTAGGTTGTAAAATTTTGAAATCAAGAACATTCTTTTTCGCTTGACATGTGTTTTTACAGTACTTAGCAAGCATTAATCCTGACCGGTTCCTCTGGGCACTGCTAAATGACTAATAAACAATCAGAATAATATATTCACTAAAGTACTGTTTAGCAATTTCAGTTTGAGTCATATGCCCTTTTTGCCTAAAAAAGAAGGGAAATTACATTCTGCAATAAAACCCAGAACCAACGCAGGTTTGCCGTGTCTGTGTGTAGAGT